TTGAGCGGGGATACGCGCTATACAAATGCTATCTATTATTTATTATTATTATTATTATTATTATATAGCGCATGAGGTCCTTAGCACTCATTAACCCCTTCACCTCTAAGATGGCGATGTAGGACTCACGTCTCCTCTGTGTGCTTTGGGTGACCGTGTTTTGGGCGACTCTTAACGTAGATGTATCTTAATGCGTCGGAGTCAGATGATGCTGCATGCGTGGGTAGTGCAAGGCGTTAACCCTACATTGCCTGGCCTGCGTAGTTGAACTATATGAATTAGCGAACTCCTGCGTTACCTCAAAAAGAGCTATATACCCCTCCCCCATCACTCATTCGTCCCTCCTCCACCAATAACCCATCTTCCCTTTCCCCAACCCTTCTCCCCATCCTTTTCCCATCAACAACCCATCCTCCATCTCCATCCTCATCTTCCCTCTTCCAACCACCTCCTTCGATTCTCTAAACCACCCCCTCTCCCCGTTGTCCTATTCCCTCACATTCGCAACTCCTCATCCCACCGCTACCCCCTTTGGCAACAGTTGGCAGTACCGACGCCTCAGTTAATGCACCATTGGTTACGGTACTACCACTACTGTGCCCACTATGAGAACTATATACTTTAAGCTTTGCTGGTGCAAGAACTTAAGTTAATTAGATTAAATTTACAGTTAAAAATGAACAAATTTGTTCATTTTATGGGTTTTGTGCATTTGCATACACCATGCGTAATCACAGTAGGTTTATTCAATTGACTACTTTTTGCGACGAAACCTTAGCTCATGTTGATAGAAGAAAATCTACGCAATAATATGTAAGCATCTAGCCTGCTTTTTATTTACTAGCCTCATTTTTGCTCATTTTGATGTCTTTTTCTAAAACTGCTGAAGGTAGGTAATTAGGTTCTTTTTTACTTCACCCAGGAAGTTTGAGTGGCTGAGGGAAAAAACAGTTTGAGAGTCTGCAGGGGAGGGCAAAGTTTTGTAAACACAAAGGTCGTCTCTGCAAGAACCTTTCGGTGAGGGGATGAAAGCGTTGACGGAGAGAGGGGACAACGACGATACCAATCTCCTGAAATCAAACGAAAAAGTAACCTACAATGAATTATTTTGTATCTCTAAAGACTAAAGTTTGGTTGCTTTTAAGGACTAGCTGGCTAACCCAGATTTCGGGGGTTTCCAGAAATCTTACCCTACACCAAAAGTGGGCATTACCCTACCTATAGAGGAGAAGTTTGGTTTCATTGGTGTGTATATTATTTGTTTGGTTATAGAGAAAATACTCGCCCTTCTGACAATTCCATTGACATTTACGAACTTAAACTGGTCGTTTTCTTTGATATTGCTGAGACTTTTTGAGACCCTTTCTTTTGTGATTTTCCATTTTGAGGGTGGGTCCCTTTTGAGCCCTGGGAATCACGCATTTCGGTTTCGATTGTGATGAAATTTCTTTTTTTGCCCTTATGGATTGATGAATTAAATGTATGTCAAAGAAGAAATAATTTGATTAGCTGGGTTTTAATTTTGCGTCCACTTTTGCAAGTAGTCCTTAACTTTTTGTGAAGACTGTATTTGTATTGATGCTGCGCACGGTATTTCTGACGAATAGCTGTCAAAATAATGCCGCCATGTTCAGATAAGGAATGCTCTAAAACTTGAGACAAATCGCTGCACCCTGAATTACAAAGATCTATCTGCTCAGTAGCCTTCCAAGCTTTGAGAAAGTTGACGTCCACAACATGTCGATGTTTTTCGAATGCAGTTCTTTGAATATTATATCGATAACGACTCCGAATTATCTTACGATTTTATAGAGCAGATAGAACATTTCATTTCTGACCTTGTGGTCTTAGTAACTCAAAACGGCCAAAAATGCCAGTTAAAACTTTGTAATTCTAAGGCAGCAAAATGGAGGAGACGAGTCCATCAAAACATTTTTCCATCCTACCGTTATATTGCAGTAAATGGTGTTACTGCTAACATTGCAAATAGGCAGGGAGGTGGGAGATTTTTTTATTTTTTTTTTTTGGGGGGGGGGGGGGCT